GGGGGATTTGATAGCAGCCTTCAACTTCCTGAAGGGAGGTTCCAAAGAGGATGGAGAGAGGCCGTTCTCAGTAGTGACAGATGGTAGAACAAGGAGCAATGGTCTCAAGTTGTGGTGGGAGAGGTCCAGGTTGGATATTAGGAAAAACTATTTCACTAGGAGGGTGGTGAAGCACTGGAATGGGTTACCTAGGGAAGTAGTGGAGTCTCCATCCCTAGAGGTGTTTAAGTCTCGGCTTGACAAAGCCCTGGCCGGGTTGATTTAGTAGGAATTGGTCCTGCCTAGAGAAGGGGGCTGGACTTGATGACCTTCTGAGGTCTCTTCCAGTTCTATGACCATAGGGGGCCAGAAGGGGTCAGAGACGGAGACCGGGACAGCTATAACCCTAGTGGACCAGCAGGGGGCAGAGGTGGAGAAAGGGACAGCTCTCTACTATGTATTTGAGAGAGTCTGTCTGTGTGTCTGTCTGTCCGTCCCCCAGCCGCAGGGCATGCACTTTCCTCCAGCTGTGCCTGCTGCCGCAGGCATGGAGAGGCGCTTCTCACCTGGCCCTAAGCTGCTGCGGTGAGAGAGGGCTGGGTTGTCCTCTCTCCCAGGGCAGCCTCCCTACCAAACCCAATCATCCCTCGCCCCACTTCAGACCAATGATTTAAATGAAGAAAAACAAAAAATATTTCAGTTAATTAGTTGAGCAATTCTGAGTAAATCCTCTAGCAAATTCATATTTACTGAACACCATTTCTGCCAGGCAAACAGCTAGGCCTCACCAAATTAACTGAGAGGCAAAAGTAGGGAGTTCTACTTACAGTAAACTTCCGATAATCCAGCACCTTTAGGACCCAGGGTGTGCCGGATTATCAGATATGCCGGACTATCGGAAAGGGGGGCTATGAGGAGTCTGGGGGGGGAGGTCGGATGCCACCCCAGACCCCTCATAGCCCCCCCCTTACGATAGTCCGGCTCTGCCCCAGGCGTCCCCAATTCAGCCGCTGCTGGTCAGTTTCAGCAGTGGCTGAATTGGGGCGCCTGCGGCAGAGCAGATGGGGTGCTACCGGGTTGGTCCCGCAGTGCCGAGGGGCAGCGCTAGGGGACCAACCCAGCGGCACCCACACCCCAACAGCTCTGCCCCCCGGCTTCCCCAATTCAGCTGCTGGTCAGTTTGTCTGGCTGCCCGGAGCACTTCCGGGTTCCTGATGGTGCCGGACCATCAGGAGTGCCGGAGCATTGGATGCTGGACCAATGGAGTTTTACTGTATTTAAAATTGAGACTATGGAGTTACTTTAAACACTGTGCAATAATATACTTATACCAACACAGAAACACAGGAATTGCCAGACTGGATCATACCCAAGCTCCATCTCGAACCTGTATCTTATGTGACAGTGACCAGAATGACATCCACTGTACTACTTTTTAAATATACGTATATATTTAATATTTTTAAATAATTCTCTTCAGTAACACAGAGCTTCTTACAAGATCTTATAGACATTCTATGATACACTATCTCATAATCTTTTCTTAGGAAACATGACAGAGTGAAGGAATTAAAACCAATATGCCAAGGAATATGTGGAGTTAAGATAATTTCAACACATTTCTGAATTAGTGCTACATCAGAATAGATTACATACCGAGGCAACTTAGTCTGATTTTCAAAGCAAGTACTAACGTGGACCACAAAAGATGAATGATAAAGTCTTTGATAAAGACTTTCCATGGATTTTGAATATTCTTGTTTAGAATTCTGGTTGGTTGTAAGAAGTACAAGAAAAGTGTGTTAACATGCCAGATAGCGAGAGGAATGCATGCTAAACAATTCTATAATCTACAATAGTCTCGTAAAACTGATTTACATCAAATAAATACAAAATTATTGTTATATTTCTCAATGTGCCTGTTACGTGAACTATGCGAGTTTTGCTTGAATATAACAAATTTGTGATATTTTTAGGCTCTAAATTCTTAGAGGGAAGGAAACCCCCCCCCCCCCAATTGTCTCAGAGTTTAGCTTGGACAGATCAGTGTTTTGTGTGTGATGTAAAAATAATTCAGTTACTTAAAGGAATCTCCACACCATCAAGAGTGGGGAAAAAAAGGAACCTTGAGAGTTTAAATGGAGGCAATCAAGCATTTTACCAAGAAATTACCATTCTAAGATAGTTTCTAGAATGTGGTGAGACAGTGGTAAACACCACAGGATTTTTTTCCTGCAAAAATCCTTTGCCCCCCCACCCCACCCCACCCTCACAACTGAAGTCAGCCTAACTTCATCTGTTTCTATTCTGAATTTCTATAACATTTTGTTCTATTCATAGCCCACATGCTGGGCTAGTGCTCTTCATCCTCAATTTTGTTCCCAGACAGTCTTAGCATATATTCTAAGGAACTTATCCTGCAAACTGGTCCTTTGTCTCTACAGCCGTCTAAAGGCAGAATGACAAGATCTCTGCTTATTTCTTCAGTCTTAATACGGTACAGTACCATGCATGTTTGCCAACACAAACAAGTCTTTATTAGCGAAATGGAATTCAAACCAGTTTTTGTAGCACTGTGCTACAATATGCATTGTCCCAGCCCACGCTAATACCTATGCTTAAGGGAAACCAATAGTTTTTGTCTCCAGGGTGGTTATTTTCAGCTGCCCCACATGCAGCAATTGCAACCGCCTGTCTCTCTGCCTGTCTGTCCAAATATGAGACTGATATGCTATACTCACCAGCATCCAGACTGCCTGTTGCTGCAGTCCAGCCCATAATGGGGGGAATGGCACCCACGACAGCTCCCACCCACGTGTTGGCGATGCTCATTCTTTTCATCGGTGTGTAACAGCACGTGTACAGGAAAATGTTGAAGGCTCCCAGCGCCCCCGTGAGAGGATTAACTCCCAGGGTCAGAAGGGCGATTCCTGGCACTGCACAGGTGGCAGCAAAGGACACCGCAAGCAGTGGGCTGTAGGGGACAAGCAGAGGACACACATTCGTTAGCAAAAGAGCTTGCGGTCGGTTACCTGCTATTCCAACCTCAACCCTCTTTAGAGCAAAAGCTAAGGTTAAGGTAGCGAACTATTTGCGACTTGGTTTCCAAGATGCTTGTAGCTTTTTTTCAAAAAAGTTCCATTATGGCTGAAATTTCCACTCTTGACTTCCATCCCAGTAATGAGCCTTCCTAGAAAGTCTGAGCCCAAAGATAAGCCAATTCCTCTGAATGGCTTTGGAGTTATAACCTATGGGAAAGGTCACTAGTTTTGATTCTACTAGTGCAGGGGCGGACAATGAAATGGTGATGGTTCGCCAGGGTTATCCTGGTGGGCTGCCGCTGTTATATTTACCTGTGCCTCTGTAGGTATGGGGAATTTCAGCTCCCATTGGCTGCGGATTGCTGTCCCCCGCCAATGGGAGCCACGGGAAGTGGGGCAGACGGGGGCACCACTTTCTGCAGCTCCAGTTGGCTGGGAATGGTGATTTGCGGCCAACAAGCACTGCAATCATCTGTGACTGCAAAGGGGCGGGTACATACAGCAGCAGCAGCCTGCTAAGGGCAAACCCTGTAGAACCAGATCTAGTTCATGGGCTATTATTTGCCCACCCCTGTACTAGTGACTAGTGCTGATATCTCCAAAAATGCCTGACCTGTGTCACTTTATAGTACTATTCATCTAGAGTCCTCGCTGGGCATTAGTACCTTAACAATTTGGTATTGATCTTAATAAGTTACAAGCATGTTGAACAAACACATCAGGAAAAATGACTTAAGTCTGTATGTTTAAACTACTGAAGTAATCAAAGCTCAGTGTGGCAGAGAAAGTGAATTGTGTCTTTGTTACAATTTCAATTGATTACAACTTTCAAGTTGCACGTTAAGAATCCAGTCTCAGAAATCAATGACAGAAAACATGTCAAGCGTTTTCTGAGCAGAAATAAGCAGTTTTTTGGATTTACTAAAAATGGCTGAAGTTTCCAAGTTCAAATCTGGCTGGTGTCTAATGCTCACCAGGGAAAATTTGACAAAGCAACTTTACAACAGAAAAATCAAATGAAGATGTGTTCTGTTCTGAGAGCAATACTAAACAATTGGCTTCCATTAGACTCTTCTCTTTTCCAAGGGTTAAATTCAGAGAGAAGGAAATGGTAGTAACTCTATAACAGGGTTTAAAAGAGAACTAGATACATTCATGGAGGTTAAGTCCATTAATGGCTATTAGCCAGGATGGGGAGGAATGGTGTCCCTAGCCTCTGTTTGTCAGAGGGTGGAGATGGATGGCAGGAGAGAGATCGCTTGATCATTACCTGTTCGATTCACTCCCTCTGGGACACTTGGCGTTGGCCACTGTCGGCAGACAGGGTACCGGGCTGGATGGACTTTTGGTCTGACCCAGTCTGGCCGTTCTTATGTTCTTACTCAAGCTCCACTCTCAAGACCAGAGTAGCTGGAAGTTTCTGGCACAATGTTCGAAAAAATTAATGGTGACAATTTAAAATGCCACTATTAGGCTTCAGAATAAACACCCAATGAGATGAACAAAAGGCAGTTCAACCACACATGGCCCAATTCTTTGTCAGTCAGCAAATCCCCACTGTCCCAGATCTGAATCCTGGGACAATAGAAGGAGTCTGAAATTCTGCTCACCTGGATGAGTGCTACACCATTATTGTTCCACTGAGTTCAATAGAGATTCAGCTAGTTTACAATAGTGCAAAATGAGAGGAAAATCTGGGTGCAAGTGGAAAACACTTCTATCTGCTTCAGCTAGTGGAAAGGAAACCTGGCCAATGGGTGGGAAAGGCATGAAAGGGAGGAAGATAGTATTCAGTTAACCAGTACACATTTTATAATGAAATTAATACATTTAGCTAAAAGTTGCCCATTGACAGGAATAGAAAATACACATTATCAGTACAGGCAGTCCCTGGGTTACGTACAAGATAGGGACCGTAGGTTTGTTCTTAAGTTGAATCTGTATGTAAGTCGGAACTGGCATCCAGATTCAGCCGCTGCTGAAATTGACCGCCAGTTCTGACTTACATACAGAATCAACTTAAGAACCCCAAGCGTCCCCAAGTCAGCTGCTGCTGAAACTAATCAGCAGCTGATTCCAGAAAGCCCCGGGCAGAGCAACTCTGCCTCGGGCTTCCTGTAGTCAGCGCTGGTCAGTTTCAGCAGCAGCTGACCTGGGTAAACCTGCGACAGAGCGGCTGGAGTGCTGCCGGGTTGGTCCCCACAGCACCAAGGTGCGGCGCTGCAGGGACCACCCCAGCAGCGCCCCAGCTGCTCTGTCCCAGGCATCCCGATT